TTATTTACAAGATTAGCCGTTCCAGGGATATAAATTATATTAATAAAACCTTTTTTAATAAGATCCGCGATGAACAGAAAACAATTATTTAACTATCTTATAAATCTTATATAAGTGCCGCGGTTTAATATCTTTAATAAATTAGTTATATTATTAAATACAGGTATTCTATTATTATTTAATACTTTTAAATTAAATGCGAAGACTAATTTTTTGACGTATATAACTTTTTTATAATAAAAGTATACGTATAATATTTAATAATAATAGATAGAAATACTACGATGCCTTATTTATTCAAAACTTATAAGATTAAACTATTCATATAAAATATAATATAGCCTTTAATAATATTATTTTCGTGATTTGCGTAAATTATTATTTATATAAACCTTAATCTTTTTTATATGATTTATAGTAAGTATAATACCGAGATTAAACAATCCTTTTATATAGTAATATATCAATTTTATTATTTTAAAATTAATACGCGTAAGAGAATGCATGTGGTATTATAAATAAAAAATAGTTTAATATAGACTAAATTATGATTTAATAATTAACCAATCTAAATATTCAATGAGTTATTAATATTTAATAATATAAATATTTTTATAGATCATATTAGTTTGATTAACCTTGCGGTAAACTAAAATTATTAAAAAATAAATATATAAATAATTTATTATATTTATTATAATTAAAGACTCCTTTATATACGCGAGTTAATATAATAATATCAATCTTTTTTTATAATTATGCGAGACATATATTTAAGAAATATTTTAAGCTCGCTTAAATCTTTTAAACTAAATACTTAGTTTAAATATTATTTGATTATTATAAGATTATTCTTGCTAAACCCTGCAGCAATTAAATCATTAATATATATAATAAAATATCACTCTTGTTATAAATATAGGAGTCTTTTAGTATAACTTTAAAATTTATCTCAAATAATTTATTAATAAATATATAATATTAAAATAATATAAGCCGTATAACATCTATTTCAATTTATAATCGTATTCTTTTAGGTTTTGGTGGTATTTAATTATTTTATGAATATTTTCTGCTTTTGATTTATATGTATAAATAATTAAAAATAATTTCTTATTATTCTTAAGTAAGATTCTTGATTATTATAATAATAAGAAATATTTTAAAAACTATTTCACTTGCCATAGGCGTGAAGAATTTATTATAATTCTTATTAAATATTTAGTAATTACTATATATAATTTATTATACATGAAATTGGGTGATGAAGCCTTTAATATTAAACTTAAATTAAATATTTATTTTTTTAAGATTACTTGAACCCCTACTAGTTTTTTTATAATATTATAGATCTCCATCCTTTCGATGTGATTAATCTATGTATGTATCATTTATTTTTAGTATAGTATTAAAAAAGTTTTTATTACTTTAATATAAATAAGAGAAATCACGATATTATAATGTTTAAATTTTAGTAAAATAGTTTCACAATCGATAATAACAAGTTATTCGTGATTATATCTTTAAAATATTATACTTTTAATAATATATTTTAATTATTTTAAAATTATAAGTTTTTTTAAAAATAAGAGTTGTATCAAGTCAGAAGTCTTATTATTATCAATAAAATAAAATTTATATTCGTGAAAGTTTTTAATTAAGCGTAAGATCTCTTCCTTAGTAAGTTTTATAGAGGTAAAAACTATTATTATTTTATTAATAATAATATTATTAACAATTTAATTAATAAAAATAAAAGATTTTATATTATTTAAAAATTTTTGATATAAAAAGTTATTATTAAATGTCGCGGATCTTCCCAATTTTGGGATAATTGGATTATTAATCTTAAGTTTAATAATAATTTTAATGAGAGTTCTATAATTATTTTTATGTATTTTGTTTTTATTAAAAATGCTATCTTAAGATTATTTAATTTTATTAAATTCGGGCATTCGAACGTAGTATATATAATTATTATTATTATTAAAGTTAATAAAATAATTAAGTACGGCTCGTGGTTCCATTTTTCTACATATAATATAATGTTTAATAAGACTATAAACATATAAATAATATCTAAAATTGTATAAAAAATTACGCGAAGCATTTAGGATCAAGAAGTTAAAATAACTAATATTAATATATAAAAACTTTTTAATATTGTTTTTAATTAATATGAAATAATTTGGAATCCACCCGGTTATTTAAATAATATAAGGGTAAAAACGTCCTAGTAATCTAAAATCAAATATCATAATTTTATTTATTCAATTAATAAGGCCGTTATATTTTTTGATAAATTATTAACTTCAAGAATATAAAATAGTAATAAAATTACACAAATTTTATAATTCTTATAAGTGATTTATTTTTGAAATAATTAAATTCTTTTAATATTATTAAAGTACCACGCTGCCAGGTAACAATCAATAATATTCTTATATTTAAAATTTATTTTTATAAATTTTATTATAATATTATTTTTTTATTTCAATAAATTAAATACAGATTAAATAAATAATATTATTGATTATGCTTGAAAAATAATTAGAAACTTTATAATCAATGGGACTTATTTTCTGAATATATGCATGCTAGACTTTTATAAAATCTATAATTTCTAAAATAAAAATTGTCAAGATTAATTATTTAACTTTAAATTAGCATATTTCACAGTATATATTTTTATAATTTTTAATTTTAATTTATTAAAGATATATAATTAAAATAACCTGCTGGAATGCCGCATAACTATATTAGTAATATAATAAAAAGAGGTCTATAATAATTATAATAACCTTAAGATCTATTAATCTACTAAAAAATATATTTTCCTTGATTTTTATATAATTAATAATTTCGTCATTCTAGATCTTCTGTAAAATATGATTTTTATTAATTCTATAATTTTTATAATCTGATTAGAGCTGTTGCGTAAATAATAATCTATAAAATAAAATATTAATAATATATTATAATATTTAGTATTATGATATTACTATTTAAATCTAATAAAAGCAATTATATAGCCTGCTATTTTAATAATTATTATTTTCTTATTTGAGATATTATACGCATATTAATCTTATAATTTTAATTTATAAAGATTAATGAGCGCAACGCGGTCCGGAGTAAGATATTAAAAATTATTAATATTATAAATCTAATATAATAATAAATTACTAAATAATTAAATTATTATATTATTAAAATTCATGTTAAGACTATTATTATTAGAATTAATATTTAACTCCGCGTTAAAAGTTATATAAGCTTTGACTATTAATTCTAATATTTTTAAAATAAAATACTTTTTCCCTAGTATTACCAATTTCAATAATTTTAACTTTTTTCTAAATATATAAATCTAAATATTATTATAAAAAAGTCTAATATCCTAGTTAGATATTAAGGGTAATAAATAATATAATTATAGTATTTATAATAAATATATATGCCATCAACCCGTCCAGATATTTAATTTTTTATCTTAAGTGTTCCTCCACTAATATCCTTTATTTTTGAAAAGATTATATTTTTTTAATTAAGCTCTCTTTTTTTCAAAATATCTCCTATAATAATTTAAATAAACATTTTAAATTTCACAATAAATACCATCGCGTTTATTTAATTAAGTTTATTTCTTTTTTCTATGGTATTCTTATAATTATTAAAAAATTATATTTTTATAGATATTTCAGCTACATTATTAAATAAGTTAAATTCTATGTTAATAATCTAATTTAAAAAGTTTAATTCAACTTGCCGGAGCATGAGGAGTAAAATATAATATAATTTTAAAATATAATCTAATTAATTATTATATACGCTGTTTTAAATTTATTAATAAATTATAATATTATGAAAAATTTACTTATTTCTCTCATATAAAGTCTGTGAATACTATTTAAGGAATATAATTATAATTTACAATAATTTAATAAATAATCTTGAAAATATTGTCCGTGTAATCTTTAATATTATTTAAAGTTACAAAATTTTATAAAATATTTTTTAATAGTTAATTAATAAATTATAATTGAAAATTAATTGAAATAATATACTAAAGAATATATTTTTTACTTATTTATGCGGTTTCAACAGATTTTTATTAACTAAATCTTATAATTTTATATTTTTAATATTTAGTTAATCCTGAAGATTTAAATAATAAAATTAATATATTTTTTAATAATTCTAAAATATTATCGAGATTTTCCGGTAATTTCGTTAAAATATACTGTATTTATATAAATAAAATGATAATCATTATACTATCTTCAATAATACATATAAATAATGTTAATCTTTTTTTAATAGCCATTTTTACGGGACCAGTGTGGACCTGATTTTTAATTTAATTAAGTAAATAATATTACTAAACCATACCAAGCCTTAATAAATAGAAATTATAATATAATCATTAACTGAGCGAGCTACGCAAGTGAGCAAGCTACTTAAATTGCCTAAATATCTCACTAAATACCTCATTAACATGAATTCTGATTAATATACAAAAATATGGTGTTTTAAAACCTTAATTATATTATTTTAAATATCTTTTCATCTAGTTCCTTAATTAGGATATCTCATATATATATAACCTAGAATATTATAGTTACTATACTGGGGAGGTACCTGACGGTAAGACTATAAATTTTTTATATAGATTATTTTATTTTTCTTTCTTTTATGTTGGAATACTTCTCTTGTTTTATTAACAATAGGATTATTTAGGCTGGTAAACTGCTTCTTATTTTACTATTTCTTAGTATTTAATTTTATATTTACTTAGTATAATTCTTAGACTTCTTACTTAATAAGTCTGTCTTGTTTAGAGCTATTTTAGTATTTTTGAAGATGTAGTCTAAGGCTGATTTTATTATAATATTAACTATACTATTAATTAATTTTTAAAGTTTTGATTCCTGCTTCTTAAGCTGATTTATATTAACTAGTATTTTTAAAAATATAGATTAAAAATCTTAGCTACTTGGTCAGCTTAAAAAATCTTTATAAAATAGCTTATTAAGTATCTGACTTGGTTTATATGGAACTAAATCTAAAGCCTTAACAGTACTATATATATTAGCTTTTTTAAATACTATAGTATAGGCTTTTAGATACTTCTTTAAAAAATTATTTTTATTAATTTTTAAATATTAAGTACGTGCGAGGGGTTCTATTAAGCTATAATATACTTTCTTAAAGGATATAAAATAGAAGATATTTAATAGCTAGTAGAGATAGGATAAACTAAATAATATATAGATTAGAATAATATTATTAGTATAATATGAATCATTAAATTTAAGTATTAAATAAGAGTCATGGTTATCTAAAATTAATAGGCTATATTTATTAATTCTTTAGTTAATTATTAATAGAATAAAATAATTTTTAAATTAGTATAAGCTAATTTCATTACTCATCCAGCTATTTAGTGATATATTAATTTTTTAATTATTTAAAATTAAAGCTTTATACTTGTTTTTTATATAATTTATTTCTTTAAAAATTAAATATAGTTTTATGATTTAGCCAGTAGCGTTAATATATTTAAAGTTATTTATTCTTAATTACTTAGCTGAATTAAAAAAGGTATTCCTTGATAATCCAATTATGTAACTATTTTAACTATTATAATTTAATTTATTATAAATTTATTTTATTGATATTAAAAATATCTTTTTTAAGCATTTTATATTTTAATATAGTTTCATGAACGCGGTTAAACAAGGCTTATATAATCTATAGATTTTTATACTTTATTTATTCAATATTTAATTAGTAGAAATTTCAACTTTTTAAGACTTTATAGTAATTAAAATAATTGGTAATTTATCTCTCTTCTACTAATTATAATAATTTCTAACTATTATATTTTTAAAATAATATATTAGCTATTTTATGAACTACTAAGTTCCTTGAAAGTATATTATAGATATTAAGCAAGATAATCTATTTCTTAAATATTTTTTTTTCTAATAGTAAGCTTGTGGGAATTTAAGTAATTTTCTTTATAAAATAAGTAACCAATAAAACAATATTAAAGAGTTAAATAAGAAATATTAAACTTTACTATAGCTGTATAAATTAAGTAAGATTCATTAATTCTATAGTTTTAATAGTGAAAAGGATTTAACCCTTTTGATACACCCACTCTTCTAATGATTTTAGTATTTTTAATAGTAAAATTGATAGTTAAATTACTTTATTTCTTGGAAATTAGAGGATTCAGGAGAATAGCTTACTTATTTATATAGTTTACTCAGTTAATAATTACATTATAATTTATAAATCTATAGAATAATAAATAATAAAATTAATAAATTTTAAGAATAATCATAATTATTTATTATATAATAAAAATTATTATACTAAGAAATCTATTAAAAGGTATTACACGCGTAAAACAATTAAAAGAAAACACTTAAAATAATGAAAACAATATAAAACTTAATGTTAAAGTATATGAGACTGGGCTTATAATCTATTATAAACCATAGTTTAAGGAGTTGAAGATATTAATTATATTTACTATCTAAGCTTTAACTAGAAAGAAAAAAAAGAATACCTTAGTAATAGTAGCTAATATAATTAGAATATGTAATTCTTGTTTACAGCTAACTATGTATCTTAATATATTCTAACTTATAACTATATTTAGATTTGATTTATAAAATATATCTGACTAAATCTTCTAAAATTATATAAAACTAAATTATTTATTGAAATATTAAAATATAAATTTATTATCTCTAAAACTAAGCTTTTAAAATTAATTATAAATTATAACAGATTCTGTATAAATCTAGAAAAGCTTAAAACATTATTATTAAATAATCTATTCTAATCTATATTATAGATATATAAATCTTTTTAAGATTGAGTAATTTTTATTATAATTTTATTAAAATTTTTAAATTTATTATTTTACTTATATAATTTATTAAAAAAGATTATTTTATTTCTTAGAGCTTTAAGTATTAAACTATTTTAAATTATTTACAAAAGGGTTTTATTAAAGTTCTAGTATCCTAGCTATTTAATAAGACTTATAAAATATTTATGAAAAATATTAATTCTAAAATATTATATTTCTACTAGTTTTATTCTAGTAGAATAAAAATAATTTATTATATTTCATAATTTTTTTCTTGAAGAAATACTTTCGAACTAAATATAATTATAAAATATATAATCAGAAGTTACTTATAATTAAATATTTATTTTTTCAAAAAGAAAATTTAAATTTAAGAGTATTTTATGTCTAATCTAAATTATTACTTACTACTATAACTCAGAGTACTTTATATTAATTAAATCTTTAAATTATGATTAGATCTAATAATTACAACTCTGTTTCTATTTTAATGGTAAATATATATATTATTTAAATTATTATAGATTCAAGTCTAACAGCCTAACTAATAGATTTAAAAACCTTTTAAAAAAGGAATATAAATAATTATAGTATTAGAGCTAGACTATACTAAAATAAGAAAGGCTAGACTTTAGTTATTTATCTACTTAGACTAAGAAACTAGAATATAAATCTATTAAAAGTAATTTAATATTTAATAGATATAGATTATTTTTAAATCTTATCTATTTTACTGCTCCAACTAAGAAGAGACTAGAATTTAAATTTATTTAAAAAATAACTTTATATTTGATAAGTATAGGATATTTTCAAAGACTAAATAATTATATAAAAAAATTAAAACTTCTTTTAGAAATACTTTATCCCGAATAATCTACTCTTAAAATAGTATAGTCTTTAAAAATAAATAAGATTTATTATTACTATTGAAAATCCAGGTAATTTTATAAGATAGCCATAAATTAGATAAATAAGTTTAAAATACATTAAAAATATTGATAAATAATAAAACTTATTATCTAAGTATTTTTCTAGTATCTTATAAAAAAAAGAAAAATTATTATTTTATAATAAAAATTATTTCTAAATTTTTAATTATAATAAATTCTTATTAAAATATCTAGAATGATTCTATATATGAAAACTTCTAGCTTAAGATTATTATTAATCTAATCTCTACTACTATATAGAGTAATAGATAAAATTTTTCTATATTTATTATTATATTATTTTATTGTAAGAAATTAAATAGGAAATTTTAAAATCTTCATTAAGTTTTATATTTGATAGAATATATCCATAGATTTTATTATAAATTTTTTAAAAATTAAAAATATAATACTATACTAGTAATTATTAATAAACTTATAAGAATAAAATATTTAATATTTTATAATTCTACTGCTAATACTGTCATAGTAGTTATGATATATACTTAATATATATAAAAATTATAGTCTCTTTTACTTTATAGTATCTGACTTAAAAATTTTAAATTTAAAATAGAAGTTTAGAATTATTTAATCTAAGGTCTAGATATTACTAATTATTTATTAATTATTTATTATTTATTTATTATTTATTTATTATTTATTTATTATTTATTTATTATTTATTTATTATTTATTTATTATTTATTTATTATTTATTT